AAGAACCACTGGTTTAGGTGGAGGGGCGGGACGGGGTAATCAAACGAATGATCAGAATCAGAATGTTTATTTAAACACATTTTTTTTATATTCTTGGTTCTTTCGGTAAAGTCATGTAGAAGGGACTGGTCATTTCTTTGTCAGTGGGTGGGCGTGCAGGGTCGGCGGGGGATCAAATACTTTTTTTCCCCTCGCTGTAGATGGACTCGTCCATCTGAATGACTGCCAAATCGCTCTCCGTGGTGCTAACGTTAAAAAAAACCCGCCACTTTTTTAAAATTTTCTTGCTGTGGTTTTCACACCTGATGATGAATGATTGCTTGTGTTGCAGTCGAAACGTCGTGAGAATTTAATTGTTTTATATTTGGATTATTTTACTGTTTCCCTTCTACGTGACTTTACCGAAAGAACCATGAATATGAATCCCTGCAGTCACGAAAGCTTTAAATAAACATTTTTTTAAATTTTACTCGGCAAGGGCCCCCCCCCCAGCCGAACGACTATACAAGCTCGTTTTGAGAAGCGGTTGGGCCGTCGACAAACGATCGCTCAACTAAGTCGGGCTTGTACCATCATCATCGCCACGTGGACGTTTAGAGCGGCAGCCAAATGCACTGAGACGCGCGACGTTGATTCTAAACGTGGAAGGGTGGAAAAAAACCGCAGGACCCGGAGAAAAATCCACACGGCCACGTTAGAGAGAGGTAGTTAACATCTCACCACGGAGAGAGAGAGACACGCAAACTGCAAATACACAACAGGCATCAGGGTCGGGATCGAAACCCATCACACCTCCTGTATACCAGGGCGAGGTAGTTATCATCTCCTAGCCACCCGTGGCGCCTATGTGGACCGCGGGAAGCAGGAAACCGACCCATGTCTCGTGATCCACAATTGAATATCACACTCGCTCCACTCGCACTCGCTCACACACAAAGACAAAGAGACCCCCCGCCCCCCCACCACCCGTATAGCCTTAAGAGAATGTCGGGGCGAGTGCCGTTTAGCGAGCAGCACCTATGAAGGCCGGCACGGCACGGCACGCGACGGGCGGGCGGCCATCAGCACGCCCGGCCGCCTTTGTCTCCCCAGTGGCGACGTTGACGCACCTCACCAGGACCGGTTCGGATAATCGTCGCCGGTGTTGGTGGCCGCGAGTGGGAATCGAACTCGGGTCACCGGGTTTGTCGCGCTAACCACTGTAGCACTGTAGCGCACGAGGGGGTGGGTGGGGCCAGCACCGCGCCCGACCGCCTTTGTCTCCCCAGTGGCGATGTTTAAACACCACGCACGAGGCAACTCGTTTGAGGCCGAGTCGACCTACTCCAATACCCGTCATTCGCCGAAAAGTGCCAGGCCAGGTGCACCGTGAGGCCACGTGAAGTGTCGGAGGCTCACTGCTGACAGGAGGTCACGGGACAGATGCAGCAGGTGCCGAGCCGACCTACTCACGAGCTCGCTCGCGCACGGCAGCCTCACCGGACGTGAGCGACGGCGTCTTGTGCACGCCGGCGACGCGGTAGTAGGGCGGGTTGTCGGTGTGGATCACCACCGAGTTCACCGACTCGGTGAGCTGCAGCTCGCGCACAAACTCGTCCAGCAGCTGTACCGGCTTGTTCCTCGCCAGGTAGATCACCACCTTCTTCATCTGCCGGTCCGCCCACCACGACCATGACCACCACCGCCGCCGCCCACCACCGCCACCCATACCACAGACACCACCGACACGAGCACCACAGCTACGTCAGCCAGCGGTCGCGCAATCCTGGTGGTGGTGGCGGCGGCGGTGGTGGTGGCAGAGGTGTTGCAAGTAGTGGTGGTGTTTGTGGCGTTTCGTGGTGACGGTGATGGCGATAACAGTGGCGGTGGGTGTGACGATGGTGAGAGAGAGCATTGGCGTTTGGTGTGACGGTGGTGGGTGTGACGATGGTGATTGAGGGCAGCGGCGTTTGGTGTGACGGTGGTGGGTGTGACGATGGTGAGTGAGGGCAGTTGCATTTGGTGTGACGGTGGTGGGTGTGACGATGGTGAGTGAGGGCAGCGGAGTTTGGTGTGACGGTGGTGGGTGTGACGATGGTGAGGGAGGGCAGTTGCATTTGGTGTGACGGTGGTGGGTGTGACGGTGGTGGGTGTGACGATGGTGAGGGAGGGCAGCGGAGTTTGGTGTGATGGTGCTGGGTGTGACGATGGTGAGTGAGGGCAGCGGCGTTTGGCGTGACGGCGACGGGTGTGACGATGGTGACGGCATTGGCGTTTGGTGTGACGATGGTGGGTGTCACGGCGCTGGGCGCCGATGGCGGCGACGGGCGCGGCACCGCCGGCGCCCCCGCGACTCACGTGCGGCAGGAGCGGAGGCTCCGTGCGCACGCCGCACAGGGCGATCACGTGCTGCAGCGTCACGCGCATGTTCCCGCTCCAGCTGTTGGCCAGCGTCGTCCACACGCTCTCCAGCTCGCCCCCCACCATCTCGTCCCCGTACTGATCGCGAGCGCCGCGTGTGGGTGGGGGCGGGGTGGTGCGGGGGGGGGGGGGGCGGGGAGTGGTGGTGGGCGGAGGGGGCACAGACAAGGGGACGCGCTGGCGACGTTCGCAGAGTTGCCCTGACCCCGCAACCCCCACCCCCACCACCCCCACCCACCCCCCGGTAGACACGTGCCCGCGCCCACACTGACGTGCCACGGTGGTGAGATGTTAACTACCTCGCCTGGTATACAGGAAGTCGTGGGATCGATCCCCAAACCTGACAATGCCTCTTGTATATCTGGAGTTTGTGGTGTCTCTCTCTCTCTCTCCGTGGTGAGATGTTAACTACCTCGCGTGGTATACAGGAAGTCGTGGGATCGATCTCCGACCCTGACGATGCCTCTTGTATATCTGGAGTTTGCGTGTCTCTCTCTCTCTCTCTCTCCGTGGTGAGATGTTAACTACCTCGCCTGGTATACAGGAAGTCGTGGGATCGATCCCCGACCCTGACGATGCCTCTTGTATATCTGGAGTTTGCGTGTCTCTCTCTCTCTCCGTGGTGAGATGTTAACTACCTCGCCTGGTATACAGGAAGTCGTGGGATCGATCCCCGACCCTGACGATGCCTCTTGTATATCTGGAGTTTGCGTGTCTCTCTCTCTCCGTGGTGAGATGTTAACTACCTCGCCTGGTATGCAGGAGGTCGAGGGTTCGATCCCGACCCTGACGATGCCTCTTGTATATCTGGAGTTTGTGTGTCTCTCTCTCTCCCCGTGGTTGCTTTGATTTTCTTCGGGTCCTCTGGTTTTTCCCTCCACATTTAGAATGAACATCACACGTTTGAAAGTATTTGCCTGCTCCAAATGTCTACAAGATAAGCCACTTCGTTGAGCTTCTGAAAGACAGTTACATAGCTCAGTAAAATAAACAAAAGTTTAGTTTAGGTGCACACTGGGCAACAGGCGCGGTGATAACAATTGGACCTCACGGAAAAATAAGGGTGGGTTGTGTGGGTAAGTGGGTGAGTTGGTGGGTGAGTCGGTGGGTTGGTGGGTGCATGGGTGGGTGAGTTGGTGAATCAGTGGTGTGTGAATTAGTCGGTGAGTGGGTGGGTGGGTGAGTGGGTAAGTTGGTGGGTGGGTGAGTGAGGTGGTGAGTGGGTGGGTGGTGTGTGAGTGGGTGGTTGAGTAGTTGGGTTAGTGGGTGGGTTGGTGGGTGAGTGGGTGGGTTGGTGGGTGGGTGCGTCTGTGGGTGGTTGATTGAGGCGGTGAGTGGGTGGGTGAGTGGTTGAAGTTGGTGGGTGGGTGAGTGAGGCGGTGAGTGGGTGGGTGGTGAGTGAGTGGGTGGTTGAGTAGTTGGGTTGGTGGGTTGGTTGGTAGGTTGGTGGGTGGGTGCGTCCGTGGGTGGTTGATTGAGGCGGTGAGTGGGTGGGTGAGTGGTTGAAGTTGGTGGGTGATTGATTGAGGCGGTGAGTGAGTGGGTGGTTGAGTAGTTGGGTTGGTGGGTGGGTTGGTGGGTGGGTGAGTGGGTTGGTGGGTGGGTGCGTCCGTGGGTGGTTGATTGAGGCGGTGAGTGGGTGGGTGGGTGGGTGAGTGGTCGAGTGGTTGGGTTGGCGGGTGGTTGCATGGGTTGGGTCTCCAACTCACCAACTCTCTCAAGAGCAACCGAACGGCTCCATATGGCGCTTACGATCGAATCTCTCACGGCTGCTCTTCAACTGGCCACACAAAACCGCCGCCACCACAACCACCACCACCACCACCACCGTAACCCAATCATCATCATCATCATCATTAAACGCCGTGACGTCGGGGACGCGCAAAGCCTCGCTCTACCAGCCCGGCTTGACAAAGCCCGCTCGGCCCGTTACCTTGGCCGTCATGTAGAGGAGGTTGTTGAGCACGAACGCCGTGGCCTGCGCCGAGCCCCAGCCGGCCCCCCTCAGCCAGCGGCCGCCCCCCGCAAGCCCCCCGCCGTTCTCCCCTTCCTCCTCCCCACCCCTGCAGCCGCCTCCCCCCCCCACCGCGGCGGCGGCGGCGGCGGCGACGGCGAAGCGGCTCTCGTCGCCGCACGGCTCGGCGAGCTGCGACGCCGACGCCGCCTCGTCGCTCTCCGGCGTCTCCGCGGGCGTCGCCGACGGCGGAAACGACGGCGGCCCGCCGGGCGTCGCGTGGCAGGAGGACGGCGGAGCGGCCGACGACGGGGGGCGGCCGCTGCCGCCACCACCGCCACCGCCACCGCCGCCGCCACCGCCGCCACCGCCGCCACCGCCACCGCCGCCACCGCCGCCACCGCCGCCACCGCCGCCCCACAGCTCGACATTGTAGAGCCACGGCAGGAGGTAGGCCAGCATGGCCTGGCGTCCCGAAGGACGGGTCGTGGGGAAGCGCTGGCTTATCTCTGTTGTGGTCAATCGGGGAGGGGGAGGGAGGGAGGGAGAGAGGGAGGGAGGGGTAGACAACAACAACAATGTCACACGCAGCAACAACATCGTCCACAACAACAACCAGCTCACCCCAAACAACAACAAATAACAACCACGTCAACCCCCCAACAATAACTCCAGCCACAACAACGCCGACCCCCCTCCGCCCCCCCCCCTCCCCCCACCACCCACCCGCCCCCCCCCCCCACCTCACCGGAGAAGACAGCGAGGGTGAGCTCCGGGTAGGCCCGCGCAATCCCCTCGGACAGGCGGTGGGCCGACATGGCGTAGAGGTGGGGGGGCGGCAGGTGCAACCCCAGCGTCACGCCGTCCGCCTTCAGGCCGTCCATCTTCTGCGCGTAGTGGAACAGCTTCCCCTCGCACACCTGCGGGCGGGGCGGGGGGGCCGTGAAGGAGCGAAAGGTTCCACGCGACGTTGCCAAGTAGCCCCCCAACCCCCCCCCCCCCCCCCCCCCCGCTGTGGCACCGCGGTGGCTAGGAGATGTTGACTACCTCGCCCGGTACACACAGGAGATCGTGGGTTTGATCCCAACCCTGACGATGCCTGCTGCTGTATATTTGGAGTTTGCGTGTCTCTCTCTCTCCGTGGTGAGATGTTAACTACCTCGCCTGGTCTACAGGAGGTCGTAGGTTCGATCCCGACCCTGACGCCTGCTGTATATTTGGAGTTTGCGTGTGTCTCTCTCTCTCTCTCCGTGGTGAGATGTTGACTACCTCGCCTGGTGTACAGGAGGTATCGTGGGTTCGATCCCAACCCCTGACGATGCCTGCTGCTGCTGTATATTTGGAGTTTGGCTCGCACCTGCAGGAGCTGCATGGAGGCCTCGTACACCTCCCTGTTGGTGTCGGAGGCCATGAAGAGGACGAGGTTGAGAAGCGTCACCATGTCCACCACGTGGTCCCTGCCGGGGGGACGATCGACGCGGCGGGAGATTAGCCGGCGTCGCTCAACGCCGAATGGCACTGTTGGCTACGTACGATGCGAAAGAAGTTCAACATATATACACCCACTTGCACAAGCTCACCCACTCACCCACCCTTGCAAACGACGCACCATCCTGGTTATAAGAGTCCTCAACTGGTGAAACAAAATCAATATGAACTCACTCACCCACCCACTCACCCACACAAACTCAAACTCATCCACCCTTGCAAACGACACTCCATGCTGGTTCTCGACTGGTGAAACTAAGTCCACGTGAACCCACCCACCCGCCCGCCCGCTCACCCACTCGCCCGCCCGCCCACCCACCCACCCACTCGCCTGCCCGCCCACCCACTCACTCACCCACCCGCCCACCCACTCACCCACCCACCCGCCCACCCACTCACCCACCCACCCACCCGCTCAACACCCACCCACCCGCTCGCCCACCCGCCCCCCCGCTCACTCACCCACCCGCCCGCCCACCCACTCACCCACCCGCCCACTCGCCCACTCACCCACCCGCCCGCCCACCCACCCACTCACCCACCCGCCCACACCACCCCGACCATACCTGGTGGTGAATGCGGCCGTAAATGCCTTGAAGCAGCCGGCAGAGACGCGGGCACTGCCCGTGTAGCAGCGGTCAATAACCCACGCCAGCAAGTTCGCCTGGTCCGGGTTCAACTCCAGCAGCAGACCCACGGCCTCGCAGCCCAGCTGGTGAACCTGCAGGCACCGTGGAAGCCTTTAACAGCGTGTCAGGGCAAGTGCCGCTAGCGAGTAGCACCTGTGAAGGCCGGGCACTGCGCACCTACGAAGGGGCGGAGGTGTGGCCCGCACCGCCCAGTGCGCCGACCGCTGCGCCACCGTTCCCAGCGAGCGAATGAGTGAGTGAACGAGTGAGCCAACGAATAAGTGAGCGAGGTAGGGAATAAATGAGTGGGCGGCCAGCGGGCAAGTGAACCGGTAGTTCAGTGGGCAAACTGTACAAGCGAATTAGCGAATTAACAAGTGGGCGAGTGAGCAAGTGAATGGGTAGTGAGGCGAGCGGACGAACAGGCGAATGAAAGAATCAATTTGATGTATGAATGAGTGAGTGAGAAACACACACCCGAGGGTCCTGGCAAGCCAGTATATTGTCGAGCCACTTGTAGAGGTATCCGTCCGGTGACAGGCCCACGTTGTCGAACACGGGGCCACAGCACAGCACCGCCGACATAGCCTGCGCCAGACACACACAGTCTCGGTTCACACACACACAGTCTCGGTTCACACACACAGTCTCGGTTCACACACACAGCCTCGGTTCACTGGCATGGCCGCCTCCGTTCGCTGGCTAACGCTGCGGGCGCATTAACCACAAACGACCACCCGCGAACAGTTACGCAGTGTGATCGCAGTGGTGATCCCATGATCTCGCGATCGTTGTCGCGATCCCGCGGTCACAGTGGCGATCTCGCGATCACCGTGGCAGGCCCTCGATACTGCTGCTGTGGCAATCTTATGATCGCTGTGGCAGGAAGAGCAGGAGGAAGGCGGGTGTTAAGAGAGGAGGCGGCGGAAGAGGAGCAGCAGGAGGGATGAGGATCGCCGCAGCGTCCTCGCGGTCGCCGCGGACGGAGGTTTCATGCCTTGAGCGCCGAGTACTGGTGGCGGTTGATCTGGTGGTGGCGGTCCCGGTAGCGGTCGAGCGGAGTGAACATGATGCTGAAGGGCCCGGCCCATTGGCTGAAGAGCAGGAAGAGGCTGTGGCGCAGAGACTGCTGCGGGAAGAGGTAGCGTCGCTGGTCCACTGTAGAGGTCAAAGCAGCGGAGACATAATCGTTATATATATAAAAAAAATGGGACCTTTTTTCGAGCATCAAAGTATGAAAAAATAACAGGAGTGGTGTTAGGATGTTCAAACACCACATAGATACACTTGTGCAAGGAATCAAATCTGCATTAACCACACACGGTACTTGTGGTGAACATGCAAACAAATATGGCTCTTGATTTAAAGCTTTCGTGACTGCAGGGATTCATATGCTTGGTTCTTTCGGTAAAGTCACGTAGAAGGGAAACAGTAAAATAATAAAAATATAAAACAATAAAATTCTCACGACGTTTCGACTGCAACACAAGCAATCATCATGTGTGAGAATTGTTTTGTTTTATATTTTTATTATTTTATTGTCACGTAGAAGGGAAACAATCTTGAATAAACACAAGATCCAGGTCTGTTTCAACACATTACATAAAATCCGTGATCTGGTTCCGTCTGTAAAAGATGTGATTCCGGACATACAGTACCCTGGTGTCTACAAACTAAGTTGCCTCTGTGGTAGTAGTAACATTGGAGAAACCAAACGCCATGTCTCGGACCGCATTCGTGAACACAAAGCAGACCTTAAACACGGTAGGACCAACACCTCGGCCGTGGCAGATCATTGTTATAATTCAGTAGGCTCACATGACATTGACTTCTCCAAGACACAGGTTCTTTGTAAGCCATCTGGCTACCATGAGAGATTCGTTCATGAGACTATCCACATATACAAGCACAGAGACAATTTCAACCGAGAAGATGGATTTTGGCTTAGCAATCATTGGAAAGATTTGATAAACCATTTCAGGTCTTAATTGATTGTTCACGCTTACGGTGGCTTTCAGACAGCATACATTAATTTTTCGTCTCCCCCTCCTCTTTTCAGAACATAGATGGACTCGTCCTTCTAAATAAACTGCCAAATCGCTGCGCGTGGCGCTGACGGGTTTTTTATAAATAAATAAATGCAACGTTTTAAAATCAATTAATTAATGCGAAACCGACACACCTGAAGACGACCGTTTGTGTTATAGTCGAAACGTCGTGAGAATTTTTTAATTGTTTTATATATATTTTATTATTTCATTGTTTCCCTTCAACGTGACTTTACCGAAAGAGCTAAGAATGTGAATTACTGCAGCCACGCAAGCTTTAAATCAAAATTCAATGAGACGATGGTCCAGAGGTGCGCGGGAAAACCACCGGGCGAAAAAACGGGAACGGCAGCAGCCGGCACCGCACGAGCGGCAGTGCCAACGGTCGCCCAAGCTCTGTCGTCCTGCGCCGGCGCCATTTTGGCCAGCGTCCGTCAACGCGCTGCTTTGATGCTGTGTGCATTGTTCACCGCAAGGCGAACCGCGGCAAGCGAGCGTCGCCGGGCCGGCGGCGTGCCGGCGCCGGCCGTGCTCACCGCGCACGTTCTGGACGAGGTTGGCCACCAGCGCGCTGAAGTGGGCGCGGATGTCCTTGAGCAGCTCCGAGTCCTTGTCGCTCTCCGACTCAAGCAGCGCGCGCGTCAGGTCCACGTACTCCACAAAGACGGCGCCCAGCGACAGCGACTCCTTGTCCAGCCCCCCGCTTGCGCTGCGGGTGGGGTAGGGGGTGAGAGGTCAGGGGTCACAAGGTAAAGGAGGGGGGGGGGGCCTGCGAGCGGCTGCTCGTGCCACTCCTAATCTTCTTTTACCTTGACGAGATTTGCAGAGCGCCTTTGCCGAGGCGCTTTACAGCGATTACTAAATTGTACGTAGCACGACAATGAAGTGAAATGAAGAACTGGGTTCTTGTAAGGGGTGGTGCAGTTATAGCTGTAAACTATTTATAGGAATCCGATGAGCCATAAAGCTCTTTTTCACTGATGTCCAGTAGCGGCAGGTCACAAAGTGAAACAACAACAGACGATGCAGAAACACGACAGGAGTGCAAAAAGTTGGAAAGGTAAACTAATCGCTTGAAAATATAAACAAATAAAATACCAAACAATTTTTATTTTACCAGTTAGGGCCCCGCCGAGCTCTTTTTGAGAAGCGACCTGGCTATCACACAAATGATAGCTCAACGAAGTGGGCTTATTATCATCATCATCATCACGTGAAAATGTATAGCAGCCAAATGACTCTAAACGCGAGACGTTGATTCTTAAAGTGGAGGGAAAAACCGGGGGACCCCGAGGAAAAATCCACGTGACCACGGGGAGAGAGACGCAAACTCCAAATATACAGCAGCAGGCATCCAAAGTCGAGATCGAACCCACGACCACCTGTAAACCAGGCGAGGTAGTTAACACCGTGTTGGCAATCACCGTGACAGGCTCGCGATACTGCTACTGTGGCGATCTCACAATCGCCGTGACAGGAAGAGGAGCGGCAGGCAGGAGGAGGATGATGTTAAGAGAGGAGGTTGGTGGAAGAGGAGTAGCCGGACAGAGAAGGATCGCCGTGGCGATCTCACCAGACGTTTGCCCGAGAGACAGACGGAGGAGGGGGGCATTTGGTCTCACTCGCTCACGCCGGGATGCCGTGGAAGAGAGCGGCAGGTTACCCACGCTTTACCCCACCACCGTACGCACGCAAAATAAAAACGTACGGTGTTGGGGGGGGGAGCGTGGAGGGGGGTCACCTGTGGCTGAAGACGCCGGCGTCGGCGAGCAGCTCGAAGATCTTGACGAGCTGGACCCGGAGCACGTCCCTCCGTCTCCTCCGCTTAACATTCTACACGGAGCACACGGAGGGGGAGGACGAGGACGAGGGAGGGAAGGAGGCGATGGAGAGGGTGGAGGAGGAGGTGACGGTGAAGGAGGAGAACACGAAGGGGGAGGAGAGAGGATGGAGGACAGAAGGTGGAAGGAGGCAAGAGGGAGCGGGAAGAGAAGGGGGAGGCAGGGAGGAGGAGGGCATGGACAATGGAGAGGGTGAAAGACACGAAGAAGAGGGAGAGAAGAGGTGACGGAGGAGTTGAGAAGAGGGGTGGGGGCGAGGAGAGATGACGAGAATCAGGAGGATGAGGACGGAGGAGCCACGCGGGCACAAGAGAGACGAGACAAAGGAAGACACGTTTATTTAGAACGGGGATGCACGTAGCGTCTGGATACGATCACAAACATCGGTGGCGTGTTTATTTTAGAGAGAGGGGGTACCATGGTGGTGAGACGTTGACTACCTCGCCTGGTATACAGGAGGTCGTGGGTTTAATCCCGACCCTGACGCCTGCTGTATATTTGTAGTCTGCGTGTCTCTCTCTCTCCGTGGTGAGATGTTAACTACCTCGCCTGGCATACAGGAGGTCGTGGGTTTAATCCCGACCCTGACGCCTGCTGTATATTTGGAGTCTGCGTGTCTCTCTCTCTCTCTCATCATCATCATCATCACGGTGGCGAGGAGATGTTAACTACCTCGCCTGGTATGCAGGAGGTCGTGGGTTCGATCCCGACCCTGACGCCTGCTGTATATTTGGAGTTTGCGTGTCTCTCTCTCTCTCCGTGGTGAGATGTTAACTACCTCGCCTGATATGCAGGAGGTTGTGGGTTCGATCCCGACCCTGACGCCTGCTGCTGTATATTTGTAGTCTGCATGTCTCTCTCTCTCTCCGTGGTCGCGGGGATTTTTCTCCGCGTCCTGCGGTTTTTTCCCCCTCCACATTTAGAATCAACGTCACGCGTTTTAGGAACTTTAGCTGTGCTAGATTTCCACGTGATGCTGATGAGCCACTTCGTTGGGCTATCATTTATTTGTGATAGCCAAGTCGTTTCAGAAAAAAGAGCTATACAAGCTCAGTGGGGCCTGAGCTGGTAAGAATAAAAATGAGTAGAGGTCACAGGGCGTGAGTCGGGTCACAGAAAAAAAAAACCCCTGCATCTCACCTCCGGCCTTCTGTCGAGGGCTTCCTTGATGACGGGGTGAAGGTCTTCGATGAGGTCACTGGGATAAGAGCAGAGGGTACCAACAGCGACATCAACATCAGCAGCAGTAGCAGAGCCATCATCAGTGGCAGCATCATAATCATCATCAGCAGCAGCAGCATCATCATCAACAGCAGCAGCAGCAGAGCCATCATCATCAGTGGCAGCATCATCATCATCATCAGTAGTAGTAGCAGCAGAGCCATCATCATCAGTGGCAGCATCATCATCAGTATCAAGATCATCATCAGGAGTAGCAGCAGCAGCAGCAGCAGGGGTGTATTTCAAGTTGCCCGACCGTCATGTGGCACCATGGTACCGGTTCCGTCTCGGTGACTCTTGCATGCGTGCGAGTGAGCGAGCGAGCGAGCGTGCGTGCGTGCCGTGGTGGGGGTGCTCGCCGTTCACCGGAACACGTAGGCGTTGGTGTGGCCCAGGCCCAGCACCAGCGACTCGGTGATCTCCATGCTCTCGGAGCGGATGAGCGGCACGATGTGCTTGAAGAGCGAGGCGGGAGACGGGGTGCTCGTCAGCTGCGGCGCGGGGGGGGGGGGGGGGGGCCGGGGGGGGGGGGGGGGGCGGTGGTAACGACAGTGACGACGATGTCGACAACGGCGCTTTCAGATGCGCGCTTCTGCGGCCGTCTGGAACGCTCTCCCTTGCCGGTATTCGGAAGCCACTGGGAGCTCCGCACTTTTAAATCAAATAAGTTCAAGGTACACACACATACACGCATACACGCAAACTCCGGGTGGAGGTGGGTGGGTGGAGGTGGAAGGGGTGAAGTGGCAGGAGGAGGGTGGAGGTGGGTGGTGGGTGGAGGTGGGAGGTGAGTGGAGGTGAGAAGTGGGTGGAGGTGGGTGGTGGATGGAGGTGGGTGGTGGGTGGAGGTGGGAGGTGAGTGGAGGTGAGAAGTGGGTGGAGGTGGGTGGTGGGTGGAGGTGGGTGGTGGGTGGAGATGGGAGGTGAGTGGAGGTGAGAAGTGGGTGGAGGTGGGAGGTGGGCGGAGGTGGGAGGTCGGTGGAGGTGGGAAGTGGGTGGAAGTGGGTGGTATGTGGGTGGTGGGTGGTAGGTGGAGGTGGGTGGTGGGTGGAGGTGGGTGGTGGGTGGAAGTGGGTGGTGGGTGGGTGGGTGGGTAGGTGGTAGGTGGGTGGTGGGTGGAGGTGGGAAGTGGGTGGAAGTGGGTGGTAGGTGGGTGGGTGGAAGTGGGTGGTATGTGGGTGGGAGGAGGGAGAGGAGAGTGCCCCCACTCACCCTGGCGTCGAACCCGGACGAGCTGTCGGGCGTGGACGCGAGCGTTTCGGGCTGCGAGGAGCGGAGCAGCGATGCACCGCCCATGCCCGGGGGCGCCACGCTGCAGCAGAAGGTCAGGTAGTTCCTCCAGAGGCCCACGTACGAGTCGGCCCCGCCGCCAGAGCCGCTCACCTTCTTCGTGTTGATGGGGCTGCTGTGGTGTGGATGGGAGGGGGGGGGGGGGGTGTGGGTGTAGGGAGGTGCGGACGAAGAGGGGTGGGAGTAAGCAGCGCATTGGCCGTCTGGAACGTGCTCTTCCTTTCCGATATTAGGAAGCCAATGGGCGCTATGGCACTTGTAAATCATCATCTAGACTGACAAACTAATTTCTTTAAAATCGCTTTCTGTTGCGTTTAGTTTTGCCGTCCTTCCCCCCGCACCTTCGATTAGCACGGTTGGTTACGTGCGGTGCGAAAGAAGTTCGACATACATTGTGGGAGGCGGGTGGCTCGTCCGACGGGGGAAAGGGGAGGGGGGAGAGAGAGGCAGCATGTAGCATCGAAAGTTCAATGTTAATGTGCCGTTTTATTGAGAAGCTACTGCTGCTATGGTGTGGTGTTATCCATCCCCCTCCCTCCATCCCTCTCCCTCCATCCCCCTCCCTCCATCCCCCTCCCTCCATCCCCCTCCCTCCATCCCTCTCCCTCCATCCCCCTCCCTCCATCCCCCTCCCTCCATCTCCCTCCCTCCATCCCCCTCCCTCCATCCCCCTCCCTCCATCCCCCTCCCTCCATCTCCCTCTCTCCATCTCCCTCCCTCCATCCCCCTCTATCCATCTCCCTCCCTCCATCCCTCCATCTCCTTCCTCCATCTCCCTCCTCCATCTCCTTCCTCCATCTCCCTCCCTCCCTCCCTCCATCCATCCCCCTCCCTCCATCTCCCTCCCTCCATCCCCCTCCCTCCATCTTCCTCCCCTCCATCTCCCTCCCTCCATCCCCCTCCCCTCCATCTTCCTCCCCTCCATCCCCCCCCTCCATCCCCCTCCCCTCCATCCCCCTCCCCTCCATCCCCCTCCCCTCCACCCCCCTCCCCTCCATCCCCCTCCCCTCCATTCCCCTCCCCTCCATTCTCCTCCCCTCCATCCCCCTCCCCTCCATCCCCCTCCCCTCCATTCCCCTCCCCTCCATCTCCCTCCCCTCCATCCCCTTCCCTCCAACCTCTTCCATCCATATTCCTCTGCTCCATCCCCCTCCCCTCCATCCCCCTCCATCCCCCTCCCCTCCATCCCCCTCCCCTCCATCCCCCTCCCCTCCATCCCCCTCCCCTCCATCCCCCTCCCCTCCATCCCCCTCCATCCCCCTCCCCTCCATCCCCCTCCCCTCCATCCCCCTCCCCTCCATCCCCCTCCCCTCCATCCCCCTCCCCTCCATCCCCCTCCCCTCCATCCTCCTCCCCTCCATCTTCCTCCCCTCCATCCCCTTCCCTCCATCCCCTCCCCTCCATCCCCTCCCCTCCATCCCCTCCCCTCCATCCCCCTCCCCTCCATCCCCCTCCCCTCCATCCCCCTCCCCTCCATCCCCTCCCCTCCATCCCCTCCCCTCCATCCCCTCCCCTCCATCCCCTCCCCTCCATCCCCCTCCCCTCCATCCCCCTCCCTCCATCCCCCTCCATCCCCCTCCCCTCCATCCCCCTCCCCTCCATCCCCCTCCCCTCCATCCCCCTCCCCTCCATCCCCCTCCCCTCCATCCCCCTCCCCTCCATCCTCCTCCCCTCCATCCTCCTCCCCTCCATCCCCCTCCCCTCCATCCCCCTCCCCTCCATCCTCCTCCCCTCCATCTTCCTCCCCTCCATCTTCCTCCCTTCCATCCCCTTCCCTCCATCCCCTCCACTCCATCCCCTCCCCTCCATCCCCTCCCCTCCATCCCCTCCCCTCCATCCCCTCCCCTCCATCCCCTCCCCTCCATCCCCCTCCCCTCCATCCCCTCCCCTCCATCCCCTCCCCTCCATCCCCTCCCCTCCATCCCCCTCCCCTCCATCCCCCTCCCCTCCATCCCCCTCCCCTCCATCTCCCTCCCTCCATCTCCCTCCCTCCCTCCATCTCCCTCCCCTCCATCTCCCTCCCTCCATCCCCTCCCCTCCATCTCCCTCCCCTCCATCCCCCTCCCCTCCATCCCCTTCCCTCCATCCCCTCCCCTCCATCTCCCCTCCATCTCCCTCCCCTCCATCCCCTTCCCTCCATCCCCTCCCCTCCATCTCCCTCCATCTCCCTCCATCTCCCTCCCTCCATCTCCCTCCCCTCCATCTCCCTCCCTCCATCCCCTCCCCTCCATCTCCCTCCCCTCCATCCCCCTCCCCTCCATCCCCTTCCCTCCATCCTCTCCCCTCCATCTCCCCTCCATCTCCCTCCCCTCCATCCCCTTCCCTCCATCCCCTCCCCTCCATCTTCCTCCCCTCCATCCCCCTCTCCTCCATCCCCCTCCCTCCCCTCCATCTCCCTCCCCTCCACCACCACCACCACCACCCACTCTCAGCTGCACCTACTTGGGGTCGACCTGCGGTGACAGCAGCTGCAGGCGGGCGTAGGCGTAGGGCCATGCGTAGGCGAGCGCTGAGGGGCAGTGGCGGGGCAGGTTGTCCTGGTGCAGGAAGCTCGAGAGGCAGAGGAGCCACGGGTCGCCTGCGTGCGCCGCGGGAACCCAGACGCGCGAGGGGCTCGTCGTGTCGTACGCGCTCAGCAGCAGCTGGGCATGGAAGTCCACCAGGTACTGCAGGTCCACGCTGTGCGAGTGCAGGAAGGAGGCCTAGGGCGGTAACGGGAGAGGGAGGGAGGGAGGGAGGGGTGAG